TCATCATTCTCATTGATTTTGAAAGTTTCATCAAAATTCGATAAGTATTCTGGAGTTATAAGCGAACAGACAGACAGAGAGACAAAAATGGTTATTGTATAAGTAACTCTTTTTGTGATAATCAATTTCATATTTAAAACTTTTTAGAATTGTATTAAACATTCGTTAAACATCAGTGTTTACCGAGTTATTAATTTTTACATAGTAAACATTTTTAGAACACCCTAGCGTATAAAACTTTACGTAAAGTTCATTTGTAAAGGTCACAAAGCATATGAATGCGTTAAATGAATTTAAAAGAGATAAAACGTACTGTTAGAATGAGAGACTTGTAATGCGATGTTTCGGCAACAAATGAAAAAGTCTCTGAATGTATGAATCAATCAGTTGTAGTTGTATAGGAGAAAATTTTGTTTCCTTTTTATTTAATTAGTTTATTTAAAAAAAATATTTTTTGAATTATGAACTTTTTTAACGTTTTATATTTTTTTAACATTATTGGCAAGTAGCGTTAGACGTGTGTTCATTTATTGTCGCGGTTGTAAGAAAGAAAAATTATCCCTGTGATTATGAAAATAATAATTAAAATTATAACGATAGAAAAAGCTACACTTACTGGTACGGGTCTGCGTGCTTACCGGCGTGCGTGCGTGCATTCGTAAGTGCGTCCATATGTATGTGTATGTGTGTGTATGCGCGCGCACTTGAGCGTTGTATGTGTTTGTGTTTGAATTTCGTTTCATTCCGAATGAAAGTTTCAATATGATCAAAGTACTTATTTAAACTATATTTCACTAAATACAGAGTTCCAACATACGAGCTAGGCGTAGTGGCCGGAGAAACCTACTCGGATCGTGGAACCATGTTAAGAAGTATTGTGCTAATGATCATCCACGAAGACTTCAACCCATACACATTAGCAGCTGACTTAGCTTTGTTGCAAGTTTATGAAGAATTCGTGTATAAGTATGAACTGATTTTTGTATCTATAAACGCTAACTTTTAATTAAAGCCTGTTAACTTTTAATGTTGAACGTAAATCGTATTAACTATATAAGTTTTGTAACTCATCGGGTGAGTGAGGTAGCCGGGGCACACTTTATAAAAAGGTAGCAGAGCATCGGCAATTCTACGGGTGTTGTAAATGTCCAAGGGATGCGGTTATAACTTAACATCAGGTAAACCGCCAGCTCGATTGCACCTTTTCACATAAAAAATATATAGGAAAAGATACCGCGGTGGACTTAATTTCCAAAAGATTGAAGGAGCTATCCGCTCAAATTAAATATAAATAAAGATTTCCAGTTAGGGCACAAAAAATTTAAAACGGTAAAATTCTCTTTCGGATGCAGTTTTGACAAAATCATTTCAATACATTTTCTAAATATTATTTTCTGCCGAGGTAGTACCACGCAGCAGCTTCTGCCGTTGTATGAATCAGAAGTATTTTATTTCGTGTTTGGTCTCGTGAGCGAAGTTGCCAAGGCCCGTATAGTTTTTAATAGTTGGCGACACATTTGCATCTGCTCTTCAAGTGTTGAAGATGCCAATGAACGGCGGTAAACACTTAACATAAAGTAAACAGCATAAAAAATATGTCAAATTTTACGTGTCCGTTCGACTTCCATATTTCACATTTATGTGAGGAATTTGCTAGTAGCGTATGTAGAACGTCTCGCTTCCTTGAATATCAATGTAATTTGAAAAACGCCAATACATCCCGAGCAAAGCTGCATCCATGAATAGTATTGGGAAGATTCGGAATCCGTCTACCGATAAATCAAATAGTGGATTCTTCACGTTTTGGTTCAAGGAACATATAAACAATGTAAACAAGTTGGTACTGCCCCATTTCATTGATGACGCATCAAAAAATCTAAGTAACACCAACTAAGATTTCGACGCGACCATGTTTTTTTGGTTATCAGAAAAATCATAGTCATGTATAATAAAAGTTTGTGCTTTAAGGCGTTTGTGTTTCGTATATAACGTTTTGAATGTGACCAATTAATGATACGAGTTAAGGAGTCTAAAGTGACCTCAAGGTATTTAACTTCCTTTTCACAAGGTATCGGTTATGTGACGATTTGATTTAGTGAAAGATTTGAGCCCTTCTTATAAAAATCAGCTGGACGGTGGGCAACAAACTCTTCAAAGACATTTTGTACTACCTCTTGGAAATGGAATTTTTTTCCCTAAAACGATTCCGAATTTTGACAAAGTCAATAGTCGGTAGGTGCAGGGTCTGGTGACTATGGCGGATGAAGGAGAGCTTCTAACTGCAACTCTTGCCACTTGGAGACTGTCTGTGGTGCAGTATGGAGTCGTACTTTGTCTTGCAGGACCAGCGGAGACGACCGATTGACCAAAGCTGTTTGCAAGTGTGCAAGCTTCTCCATCATTGTCTTCAGTTCTTCATGCATCTGCAGATTACTGCAGATGTGTACTGTGATCTGCGGATTACTGCAGATGTGTACTGTGATCTGCAGATTACTGCAGATGTGTGTGTTTACAAAACGGCATGAGCATTAGCTTATAGTGTTTTGTAAAAAGCTGTGATGAATCACACCGGAACTAGACCACCAACCAATGACCATCACATTTCTAGGGGTTCATTTTTCGTTTAGGACATTGCTTTGGTGCTGAAACAGGACTAACTTGCTGACCGCTTTCAATTGTTGAACAGCATCCATTTTTCGTTGCACGATTCGCTTCAAAATTCCTTCATTTCCGTGCCTGTTGAGTAGTGCGAGGCAGGTCTCGACGCGTACGTTGCGTTGGCCATCGTTAAGTTCGTGGGCAGTTGGGCACCCACACATGGGCACAAATAATGATCCTAACATCCAAACCTTCTGCTAGCTCGGCTGAGTATTATCAGCTTCCACAATCGCTTTTAAATCATCATTGTTGACCATAGTGACCGGAGGACCACGGGGCTAATTTTTCAAGGCAACATTTTCAGAACGGAACCGGACCATAACGGGTTGTACGTTCTTTTCCGTAAACGATGCTGATGTTACGAACTATTATGCTGCGTTGTTGCCATTACGGAACTCATATTCCATAGTTACAAGAATTTTTAAAGTATCCATTCTGACGGAAATTTTTTAAAATGTATTGAAAATACAGAATTTCGGAAATATAGAATTTCATGTTTTTAAAACATAATTAATATTAATGTAGTATCCACAGCCATTGTTTTTTGTTTGAAATGGCCAGTAGGTACTGAAGAACGGCAATTTCATATAGATACAGACCTATTATATATTATGTACCTATGTGTCTATATCTGTATGTTTGATTATTGTACCTATTTTAATTTTGCCCATTATAATAGTTCATGATATTTATTATGTACAAAGTAGTTCTTAAATTATGTGTAATTTATTTTATTTTATTCATAATATTATTTTTGTACTCTCCCGTTAAATTGATAGGTAGATAGAATGACATCGGCATTAGTTCCCTTTTAAAATAAAGTTTCTTGCGTGCATAAAGTTTTAATTAAAATAAATAACCTTATCTCTCTATTATAGAATTAATGTGAAGTCGATCGCATTGATAGCCCCGACGTCTACATTAAATGACGAAAGAGTATTCGTTACTGGTTGGGGAAGATGTGATTTGACGGTAAGGTACTATTTATTTCATGTAATATAGACAAATTTTAAACGTTAAAAAAATAGTTGTTTAAAAAAATGTTTTAAATTGTGAAAAAAAATTAACGATTTAATTCGAACCAACTTAAATTTTACTCAACTGCAAAATTAACGAGCTGTTTGGAGTTCAGGAAGAACCGACTCCGCCAACTCTCGGACATTGTCAATTAAACGTGAAAACTTAAGCTAAGACCACCGCTGTTCCGTCACTCTTTATTCTGAAATCACACTGTATACAGCGTGTCGTTACCACCGCGACAATAAATGAACACACGTCTAACGCTACTTGCCCATAATCATAAAAAATATTAACTTTTTAACGTTTAATCCACAATTAAAAAAAATATTTTTCAAACAAACAAATAAATATTGATGTTTAAAAAATGTAAATGTTTAATACAATTTTAAAAAGTTATTCTCTGTGTATCCTATATGTGTGTCCATTTATTGTCGCGATTGTAAAGACACGCTGTATAAGTATTTATTAAAAATCATTAATTAGTAATCGTTAGAAATTAGTGTGTAAGTAGCTGTGCAATTGCAATTGCGGAAAAACGAATTGAGGTAAATATGATATAAAATAAAACTGTGATAAATTTCTGTCAGGCGCTGCAAAAGTGTTTTGGATTTATTTTCGTGCAAACACGAACGTCCTTTTACATAATCAATAACACTAACTAGAACCTTTGATACGAATTGTAAAATTCAGTTATTGACGTTTTCTTATTTTTTCCGGGAAACTTGAACGACTTGTTGACACTCGTAAATGTAGGGTAAAAAGCTAAGGCTGTATTTTATAGATATTCGTTTTTGAAAGTTAGATTTTGCGTAGATTCTAAGTTTTTGAAATATGGTCTTGTTTTTATTTTTATTTCTTGTTATGACAGTCACTTCTTTTTAAACGGTTTTATTTATTTAGCTCGACACGTACGGATTTTTTTTATTTATTTGGGTCAAAATTAGAAATTGAAATTTAAGCACCTTCCCGTTGTCAGATTGATCTGAAATTTGGTACACACATTTAATTTAGATGACAATACAATATTGTAGTTTTCAGTGCATAAAAAAAAAACAAAATAAAACCGTTTAACTTAAAAGTTTTTAAACGGTTTTTTTCACCTTTAAATAATGTTTTAGAGTTTCTTTATAATAGGTATCTTATCAAATAAATGGTAGGAAATACGCAGACTGTGGTCAAATATTATTTTGGATATAATGATCGCAATATCATACATATGAAGTGTTTTAACAAGGTACTGTATTATTAATATTTAATTTTAATGTTTTAAGGGTAAAGAATTGTGTTTGCCTCGCACCACGAAATTTACGCCAGGCGAGAAAATGGATCCAATGATGAGAACAATCTCGTTCGTTATAACATCGCCTAATTACTACTGCGATGGATACGAACGGGTAAGTGGTAACTCTGCGTTGAATTTTAAATATTTTATTATTTAATTTTGGTTCCATAAAATCATAGGAGAATCGTAAATGCCTATGTGTATTTTAATTAACCTTTCATCTTTATAAATAATGGAACTTTTTGTAACGTGTTTTTTTTGGATCATGTTTAATGCAATTCTTAGTTTAGCTTGTGTCGCACTTTAAATGCGAGTAGGAACTTGAATGTGTACTAAAGTAAATGTAGGAACTTGAATGTGTATTAAAGTAAATGTAGGAACTTGAATATGTATTAGACACCTATCTTTGCAATCGTTCGAGCGTATGCACGAACAGAAAAACATTGCAGCATGAGACTCGCTTGCAATCGGGAATGTTGTGCGCTGGTGTGGCCCGGGAGGAGAATGCAGTGGCGCCTTGTCTGGCCGTGCCGGGCGCAGCGCTAGTGGCCCACGCTCGTCTGGTGGGCCTCCAATCTTGGGGCTTCGGATGCGGCTATCGCAATGACTTGCCTCTAGTTTACACGGACCTTAGGCATTACCAACCGTTAGTGACGTCACTGCCTGTTTAATTATATGAAAACTCGAAAAACTCTACCCAATCTCTTCAGGTTTTATGCGTATTAATACGTATATAAATGTTACATTATCACTAAGGAAAATGGACGTGCCGTTCGTGAGTTTTTATTATTCGAAAATAATATAACTTGTTTAATTATACAATTTCATATCCTTTACACTGCAATAATAATCTAAAGAAGCTCAAAAGTAAAAAGTAAATAAAGAGCTAACTTATTATATTTCATTGCTTGGCGAATTTAGCTGACTTTCTTTTGAAATATTCCTCACAATATTTTTCTTCAACGCTTAGCACGTTAATAATTTCATTAGCGCCGGCACGGGGCGTGGGTTTGAACTTTGGTTGTCCGTAATATACAAAATTTTAATATACTAAATTGAGCGTAAGCTCATGGTATTTTTTCGTACCCAAAGTACCGTCGTCCGTCTGTCACCAGGCTTATATCTCATGAACCTTGATAGTTAGAGAGTTGAAATTTTTACAGAAGATGTATTTCTGTCGCCGCTATAACTAAAAAATATAACAACTAAAGACAATGAAACAACATTTAAATGGGACTCCCATACAACAAATATTTTTTTGCACTTTTAAGACCTTTTAATATTGTTTTATATATTGTCTTTAATTTTTAGGTGGATAGTACACAATATTCCCATTCTACGCAACCTACGGCAAAACAATTTAACTGAAATTTTTGAAGTGATGAAAGCGTATATGCTATCTAAGTGGTTGAGTATTACGAGGGAAAGGGGCGAACCCTTAATGATGAAACAAACCGCAAATACTATTTTACAAATAAATTTAGACATTGAGTTGTCTAAATTGAAAGGAAATGTTCTCGACATCCGAGATTTTATATATTCTGGAGAATTTCATAAATTGAAAAAGACTATGATTGAAAATATGCGGTTGGAGAATACAAAAATACCCTCCAATGTAACGGCCTGGCAACTACCGCCCGTCAAGGCAGAACCATTTCTAGATAAAAACAAATACGAATATGAAGATTATATAACGACGCAAGTTGATTTAGAAAGCGATGCCTTTGATAGGGTGAACAGTGATGATAATTTAAAAGATAGACTTGATATTAGTGAAGATGATGAAAGTGAGGAAGATGAGACGGATAATGGAAAATAATGTGCCTGATTTTTATCATAAAATAGGATAATGTACTATTTAAAAAAGCCTAACTGTAACAGTTGCAAGCTCGTTGTCTGTAGTTTAAACTAAGTTGCCATAGATTACTAACAGTAAAATGAAAAACAATTCATTTTTGATTATTCTTTATTTGGTTTAATTCCATTGGTACATTTCTACTGTTAAAAGGTATTAAGGTAGTCAGTAAGATAATACACTTAACACAATCGGACAAGAAACAACTCTTCTTAGGGTATTTAATAATGTACTTAATAATATATGACACAAACTTAATATAAAAACTTTAATTATTGATTTTAATTGAATCCGAGTACAATTTTGTTATTAAGAAATTACTCATATAATGTGCATTTCATTAAGTCGTAAACCTAAACATTAATGAACAAATAAATGGCGTAAAAACAGTCTTGCTTGTAAGTGCAAATGGCACAACTAAATTAATCCCTGGGCAAAATATAATATACAAACAAATATAAATATGATATAAATTGATACTTAAATCGTGTTATCTAGTGGAATGTATGTTAATAGAACCAACTATTATAAATACCAACTGTCCTTCTTCAAATATTGTAAATTCTACATCAACTACAGATTGAGTGAAATTGATATTCTTTAATCGCATCTAATGCTAAGACACCAAGCTTATTATTATTCTAAACACTTATAATAACAATAAAACATTTATTTCAGGATTAACAGTATGCGGTTAATAAATACTTTAATTGGAATTTTTATGATAGATATAGTGTTCAGGACTCAGCCATAAAATAAATGAGTGGAGAATAAATGTTTTTAAACTGAATTTTCATCAAATTAGAACAGAAAGACTAAAGAATCCGACACATAAGAACGCAAAATCAATCCATAAGATACATTTTATAAAATAATAAAAATGTAATAATGAAGATTAGACAAGCAGATACAAGAAAAGTGATAGTATTATTGATTCATAAATAAGTTATACACTACACATCATTCTACTGACAAAATTCAGATATATTTACCATCGCCTATTAGATTATCTTTGGTATGTTTACGTATAATACAACATTTAATATCGTAAATGCTAATAAATCTGTATGCGTAGAATGCATTGAATTGTCGTTTGAGAAGATCTAAATAGTATACACATACTGTTTAGATGCATCCTTGACGACGGTACAGGCGCATCTCGCTGGTAGCCACAGCAATCCACTCATTCCTAGCGGCGTCGAACCAAGTGAGACCCAAGGTGTATTTACCATTTATATTCACATGCTGGCAATGGGAGAACCACCATCCGCCCTCATAATTACCAGCGCAATGGGTGTTAGAAATGTCACGATCACGATCAATAGCAGAAAACTCCATATGATTTTGGTACTCGAAAGCATTGGAAGCGTTGCCCCTGAAGCCACCGATATCCAGTACGTAGCCAGAGTCTGCGTTACCAACGAAGAAGTTTTCATATTGGGCGTACCAAGCACCTCCGTAGATATCAGTCATATCAATGCGCATGGCAGAGCAGTTATCGGCAGTAAGCTGGTGCATAGATTCGAGTCCTATCCAGTATTCGGAAGCGGGATTGCCGAAACCATTCACATATTCATGGAATTTGCGGTTGAACTCGACGGTACCATTGAAGCGGCGTTGGAGGAGAGTACTTCCATTAACACACCAAGTATCGACAGGGGCGTGTCCAGGATGGATCAGGTAATCACCAGGAGGACCGGAAATGCCAGTACAATCTTTGGGCAGCTGATTAACAAGGTCTTCATATTCACGTTCAACAGGTTGCAGTTCCTTTACTTCGCCCATGATATCCGGAAGGGAAACAGGAGTTTGGTTTTGTTGGAGGTTGTTAGCTTCGCTCTGAAAAAGATTTTGCATTTAAATAGAATCTGTCCTCTAATTAAAATTATGGCTTTTAGTTACATATTCGTTTGTTTAAATTCTCAAAATGTGAATTTTGTTATTATACCTTCAAAATGTGATCATTGAGGCGGTAAAAATGTTGCCTGGACCGGTTCTGTAGTTCCGAAATCGAGTCGTTTATCTTCTTCATCGTGAGGCGGTCCAGTTCAGCTCGGTCTATGGCATTGCTCACGCTGACAGCAATTGCTTTCACAGACTGACGCAAATTTTCCTGATCCTCTTTCAAATAAGATGATTGAGCGTTGAGCTGTTGAGCAAACCAAAATTTATTCTAGTGATTATTCGTTGTCTAAAACATTAAAATTTGATGAGCGGTACGCTTATTAAAACTGTTTCTTTTGATATCAACGCTATTATTTTAATAAATTTAAAGTCACAACTAAATTCAGTAAATGCATAATTAAATTTTATTAATGATAAAGGTACTTTATTACTTAATTGCTTACTTGTGCGAAGTTGATGTCCAACTTTGAAATTTCTTTCCGAAATTCTGGAATTGTTTTGTCGACCTTATTTTCAATGCTTTCAACGTCTTCCCGCAGCTCCAGCATTGAGGAGTGTACTTTGTCGAAATCCAAAACTTTCTGAGTTGTATTCGAAAGTTCAGTACGGATAACTTTATTCTCAAGCTCGAGGAAATCGACTTTTGCGGTGATGAGGTTCCAATTGGGCTCCTCATAACGGTCGAGGCGTCGTTGCACATCAAGTATTTGGGTCTGAAGGCTCTGTTGAGACTCGTCAAGCTGATCTTGACTGCGAGCAAGGCGGGATATTTGAGCGTGGACCATCTTGTTGTGACGAATCTTGTGTGAGTGTTCATGCCTTAGGTGAACAGGGCGACCCTGTGGTTCCAATACTTCGTTATACGCATCAAGGTTCAGTTCCTGAAGTTCTTTTGTCTTAAACTGTAACAAACATAAAAAGATTGTGTAAATCACACTTCTTACGAAATTGATAAGTTTACTCATGAAAATAGGTAAGAAATGTTATTTATCAAAGGACCAGAAAATATTTTTTTTAATATGAAAAGTGGCAAACGAGCTGGCGGTTCAGCCCCCTATTGACATTTGCAACATCCTTGAGGTTGCAGATGCGTTGACACCCTTAAGAAAGTGGGCCCAGGCTACCTCACTCACCAGACGAAACGCAGAAGTATACAATACTTCCACTACACGCCGGTCTTCTGTGAGGGACTTATCCGGACGGACGTGCGCATTCGTGCAATAGCAAGGACTGTTGCATTGCCGTACCACAGTTTTCCTACCACCTTTTTATATATTTAATTGCGTAGTCATAAGCATGTTAGGTTATAAAAGTTATATAGATGGTGCCACCAGTTCTCCGAAAGATTGTTTTGTTATTACTTTGTTAAGAAACATTAATTACACTAAATTGTTAAGTCACATTAATCAACATTCAGTTCACAAAAGGCACAATTCTAGTTGCACTTGAACAGTTAATCAATCAATAACAAATTTACATATTGATAATTTTAAGGTTCCATTATGTATGTAAATTATAAGATACACCTGACCGCCCCATTAAAGTTTATAGCTATTTTGAAAAAAATATCATAATTATTTGTGTAACTTGAAAGCAAATGTTAAAATTCCCGTTTTGGTTTTAAAAACTTTCTTGGAAAGAGTTGAATCTTATCAGGAAATGAAGAGAAGATGAAATAGAAATTGAAAAGGAAGTTCATCACTGTAATGAACATTGTGACGGGATGCCATAAAGGAAATCTTTAAAGTTACTACTTTCTTAAAGATCTTGAGGGTTACTTACTTTCCGTAATTATTATTTACTTTTAAAGCATGACTTCTTTTTTATAATACTCGTATACAACTATAAAAAGTACTGAAATCCCAAAATTTTCATTTCAAAAGTAGCTCTTTGTTTTTATAAAGAAAAATATATTTAGACAAACGAAGAGAACTGCCCTTGTAATATTAAAAATGTATTTAGCAGTTACACGTATTTGTATATTATTTGTATGTTTTATTAAAGCTCAGTTAAAATCAATATTAACGTATAGGTACTTATTTTGAAAGTTATTAAAGCCTTAAATTTATCAAATCGGTAAAATCGAAACTCTTTTGAAACGTTTTGAAAACTTATACTAATGAATAAAATCAACAAAACGAATAAGCCTTTCGGATAACAAGATGACGAGTAGAAGTGAAACAGGTATTTGTTTGATATAAACAGAGATAGAACGTACAAAGCTAAAATGCGAAGTAAACAGAACTAGCCTAATGGAAAATCCGAAATACTGAGAAATCTATCAGCAAAAAATTGCTTTGACGTTTTCAAAGGAGTCTGCTAGAGAAAACAGATGCCAATTAAAAAGTATTCTTAGCCAATACTTTCATTTATTTTTCCAAGTAGTAGATAAAATTAACTATTTTGCTCTGATTAAATATTTTAATTTTATTGTTGGCACGATTTTTATTACTTATTAGTTAAATCAATTTATTAGCATTATTTTTCTTTGAAGGCTTAAATTAAATTAGAGAACTGTAAAAAAGGAGCGTCATTTTCTTAAGTGTTTTTAAATAAACGCACAATTGTAAAAGATCTACTATTGATCTAGAATTGATACAATCTACTCATAGGCCTAAAGCTCTTGATTGTATTATTTACCTACATTGCTACTGCTAAGGCTGTTTATTCACATGATTCACTTAGTTCCTCTGTTTTATTTTCATGTTGTACCAATTTAAAAATAATTTAATGGGTTCTTTTGTTTTGGTTTTGAGTGAGGCGGAATCTATGTCTGTTGAAAATAGAAATGAGACGAATATAAAGGTCAATGAACTAAATGGTGTCTTTCCGATCACTTGCAAGATTTAACTTATAGCTTTCTATGTTTGTTAAAATACATTTAATGGGACTATAAATGGTTGGCATTTACGGTCCGTAATTTATATGAGCTGTGTGCCATCTGCTTGAAATCGTTGGCGTTGCAATTATGCCGACCTGCGGAACAGGTTTCTCCAGGAGGCTGCAATCTTGGACACCTAACTCAACGTGGTTTACAATTGTGTCAAATTCGCTCGCAAATTCGGAACGTCTATGAAAATTTTTCATCAATAAGAACTCTTTCAATAAAATACCAGACATTCACGATTATAAAAATATTAGCTGTTTTATTCTACGCTATTTGGGTGTCTATTAATTTTTGAAAGATACTTGCGCGTAGATAAGAGTATAAACAATGACCTTCAGTACGGAGGAAAAATAAACTGTATCGAAAACACTACGAGCTTGGATATACTAGTGGAACAACATCGTCATTCAAGTTGTATAATGCGGCAAAACCAGGTGTGCGCAGGCGCACGCTGCTCCCAACCGAGATGAGCAGAATTGCCTCAATATCTATACATACATCTTTAATGTATGCATATTATAGAGGGCAGCAGGTGGTCTCGCGGTCTGATAAAGTATATTTAGTGTTGGCTAAGCATACGCCAGCCGGTTTGCAATATGGGTGTCTGGAACTTATACAAAACTACACGTACTAATCAAGAGTTCGTGTTGATGGCGGCTATAATTTAATATTAGAAGACATCAAGATGAAATAATTGTAAAATAAATAACCGAATTATATTATTACATAAAAATATTAGTTGTAATATTTCAACACGCGAGTTGCCTTTGTAAACAAAATACGCTGTATTTACTGGAATCAACAAATGGAAGCGAGAGAGTAGGTACCGGTTTATTTTATGTAAAAAAAATTATAGTGATTTGTGTTTTGATCGAATATAATAAAATAAAAACCTGAGTTATTTTCTTCTTAGTTAATATTCTGTATAATGAAAGTAATATAATGACATTCATAAAAAGGGGACCTTTTAACTAGATTATTTTATTAATAATTCTTTACTATTATGAAACATGTGCAATCGATATTTTTTTATGTAAAAAAATTGTCAAGTGAACAGTCGGTTCGCCTTTTATTTAGTGATTACCGACATCTACAACATCCAAGGGCTTCAAGATGCGTTGAGAAGCTTTAAAATAAGATGACCCGATTACCTCAATCGCCAGACCACTTCACGCAGGTCTCTTGTGCGGCCCTGGTACATCCCCGGACGAGCCTGCCCATACGTGTAATAGCCGAAGATACGTTGTGGCCCTACTATAGTACTTACCTACGGGCTATGAACCGCACAAAGTAATTAGTGCTAGTAATTCTGTTATTTCTGCAATACAACACTCATTGAAAAAGGCATCTAAAAATATTTCCATGTTAACTTTTTCTTTAAAGTTATAATATAGCGCAGTGGTCAACGATTTTTACTTAATTTCACCAAGACGACCGCGTTACTATCAAACCGCAACGCAATTTATTTCGTAAAATACTGTATACGTGTAAAATACTATCTATTCCTCGGTCCATCGAAACTATTGCATTGCCATCGCTACTTTTGACTTCAAATTCAGAAGACATGCTACAACGTCAACATTCAGAACATACATTTATTTTCTTTTTAATCCACTGTTGAATGCGACATCCGAAACCTACGCAAAGGCGATCACTTCACAGATGGATGAATAAAATCACATTAAACCATATTGGATGTAATTAATCTATGTCGAGGTGTCAATTTGATAAACATTCACATAGCTAACAAAGAATTTATCATTACTTTGGATTACCTACTTATACGTATCTATAAAAAATGAATAATATTTGTACAACTTCTCGCATTTTGTATACAATAGAATATACAAAAACTACATGTAATAGTTTTTGCATATACATACATGCTATACCAACATTTTTATATTTGTATTTATTTTTCTTTATATAGGTACCAACGTTAAATAAGCATAAAATGTTTTATTTCTAATGGAATACAAATCCACTTAAATAATATTCAGTCTTCACTTAGGTACACTGACAGGAAACTGATTAATATTCAAGTCAGACAATCGGATAAAAAATATAGAAAAATAATAAATTCTTGCTATTTATTTTTTAGATTATTTTGTTATTCATTTATTTTTGTATTCATGATAATTAACTTTTTTCGTGGCAGGTCCTTCTATTGGTGCCCAGTTATCTGAATATAAATGTTCTGAAACAATAAGCGGTCCATGGAGGCGGGAACGTGCATCGGCGGTTTATTCGCCGCCAATGCGTTCGTATTTCAACCTAAGGACAAAGCGTCCGCATTCGCCGAAAGAACATTCGCCAGCGCGGAAACCTGACGCTTAACGCACGCAATTAAAAAAAATTCAAATCGCCGATAGTGAGTTATTCCACTAAAAGTTAAATCCGTTAAAAACTTTATTGTCTCTTTGAAGGATTGATTTTTGAATTGGCTGTGCAAGCTGTTTTTCAATGACAGTTAAGTTCACATGCTTCTTGCATGACCGTTCGAGTTAGGGAGAGAATTAGATTTACGCCAATATTGATCAATTGTTTAGCCTTTACAACCCAATCTAACGATACTGACAGTCGCATTGTGTTTTCAAGGAGGCAGCTGTGGGCTATTTTTAAAATCGCTTTTATTTTACAACGTTTAGTTCCATATTTCACTTTTTATGTTTTGCCCCTATAGTGTAATTAGCGACATGTTTGCGCACAATGTGCAAACGTTTATATAGCTTCAGTACGTAAGTCTTTAATTGATTTTTTTTCAATATATACAGGAGATGATCGTAACACTAACAGTGTCTTAGGTTGAGAGAATGGGATAATTTTTTGTTACAGCTCCATCAATAAAGGGCGTTTCAACAATAGCTGTACCCAATTCTTTAAAGCATACCGTAACAGAAATCAATGGACAGAACACTATTGTGATCGAAGCTTTCGTATCGAATAACATAATGCAATACAAAATTCGCTTATTGTCCTATGGAATGTTTACGCATTCAGAAGTATCCGATAGAC